AATAATAATAATAATAATGATAATGATGATGATGATGATGATGATAATAATAATCGTGATTGGTTCTCCGCGCGCCTATTGGTCACGTATTCGGGGCGCGATCACGTGGGTGTCCAATTACTTGCATCCAATTTGAACTTTTCATAATTGGACACCTGTAACTGGATACCCACGTGATTCGCACGTCAATTACGCGCGCTTTAATGGCTTTCTTCGCACTGTTTCCCACAGTTTTCAAAGCTTTTGAAAAGCGCTACAGACGTTTTCACTCAAAAGAAGTCTTCTCAAATGACATTTTTAATTCCGAAATTTGCTGTAGATACGATTAATTAGTAATTGGACCTCGTGTCGTACAATTCAGAGAGTAATCGTGCTCTTAATGTCTTACCGACCTCGCGCTTCGCGCTCGTCCAATTTTGAAATTTCTCGCGCGGTTACTCCCTAAATTGTACTCCACTCCGTCCAATTACTATTACTGATAATAATAATACAGATTAATTGTTTTTTCTCCTTAACAGTTGATACACATTAACTTGCAGCTGTTTGACCAAAAATAGCGGGAATGAAAAATGCGCTCATTGTATTTTATCTGAGTTAATGTAACTGTTCCTTTCAAAATAATCTAATCGTGACTTGTTGTTTGGTTATCACGCAAATTACTAATTAAAACAAACAATGCCCCAAGTTGGCGTTAATGGGGGAGCACTGCCTTGCGTTAGGTAAGCCTGTGCAACTTCCGGAGATTGCGTGAAACAAGAACCTCACTTATCTCCCCAGCACTACGAGCTGACTGCAAGGCAGCACGTGCTGGATCGGACAAGAGTATTGGTAGCGGGCGATATTCATAGGCAACGTAGCCAAGACGCTTAATCTGAGAAGTTATCGGCTATTGTTTCCAGGATATTAAACAAAAAAGAAGCTTTCATTTCTGGACGGTTTGTACATCTCTGCAGTAGCAGTTAAATCGTTTTATTTGATGACATTCATTTCAGTCTGATATTTTTAAAGGTGAAAAGTATGAAAACTGGTCAAATGTTCTTTGAAGACTGTGTGGCACCAAGTTAAAGTGCAATTTAATTAGATCAGACTTTCAACATGTCAGAGGCTTTTTTCTCTTTCTATTTTCGGTGAAGTTGTGTTGTGTTGGGTAAAACTTAGGTAAACCTTACGACTTGTATAAAATGCAAAAAAGTCTCCAAATTAACTTGAGTATTTTTGAGCAAAAACTCCTCATGGGGGTTGGAAGGGTTATGTGATCGGTGAGTGAGGGAGTTATGCATGTGCCCATGTCACACCAATCACAGTGCGGGTTGTATCAAAGAACGAATCAAATTGACTGTTAGAAATCAAGAAGGTATCTACATTAATCTGGAGACGTGTCAGATTACTTTAGTTTGTTCAGTCAAACATTTTATGGCTTACTATTTAGCTATCTGATCATGACCGATGTAACATCACAACTAAAAAAAATTGTCAAATTAACCAATCATTACTGTACCATGAATGCTCCTATCTCCGACACTTCACACAAAAAAATAACTCTTTCACACCTTACGCGCCTTTGTTTTAGGATGTCATCCCAAATGAAAGGCTGCGAAGGGCTAACTTTAGAAGTGTAGAGTCAAATTTCACTTTTCTCAAAAGACGCGGTTTCTAAAATCTTTGTTTTAACTATAAGAACGTTGCATGTTTTTAATGACTGTTTAAAATGTAACAATTGCAATGTTGGAAAACACAATGGGGTTGGTGTCACTTGCTGGCTTTGGTTCTTCCTAATTTTCACGAACAGACTTCTAGCAGTACACGTGGGTATAAGTCACCTTCTTAGATGTGTGTTTTGAGGTGGTGGTGTCCCTTCAAACGCAACATTTATTTTACTGTGCTGCAACAGAGAGTTATTAGATAAATTAAAAAACAGTCATCACTATGTGCATCTACTGCACAGTTGTGAAATGTTTATAAAACATATCATAACAACACTAACACTAATACTAATACTATTAATGATGCCGATACTGATACTGATATTAATACTCATAAGAATACTAATACTATACTTACAATGAAACAAACGTATATTTACAACTTTTGAGCACGGAGAGGACACTCAGTCCTCTCTGTGCTCAGTGGGGGCCCTGGCTTGTTGATGTGGAGGGGCCCTATGAAAAAATGAACTAAAATTAAATCATATCAACTCGACCATAAATTTAAGTTCAAGTCAACAGAAATAAGTAACCGTAATAATAATAAATACGCATTTTTATGTAATGAACGGAAAAGAAGTCTTTAAAGAAAGAAATAATTAGTACTAAATACCAATTCTACTTACCCTACTTCTTCCACTGAAAATGGTACTAAATCCTCTTCTGCGAGCCCTAAGGCCCGCAGAAGAGCGGCCACCACCACAGTAACTATAAAGAATGGCATCTGCAAGTTAGAGAGTAGACAAATGAATTATATTTGGTTTGAATATTTTGCTTATCAATTAGACAACAACTTCATTTGGATTTACTTAAACTTCACGATTTCAATTCCGTTATAATGTGGGTGTTTCACCTGCATACTAGTCTCCTCATGCTCAGCTGCCGTTTTTGAGTTATTTTTTTGTTTAAAAAAATACCTCTTAGTTGGCACGTCAGGTATGTTATGGACGTGTCATTGGATGAGTGAGTCAGTGAGTCAGTGAGTGAGTGAGAGATGTATGTATGTCACACCAGTCAGATTGGATCTACTATGAACAGCCAATCAAATTTCTTGTTGTA